ACATAGCAATAAGGTGAGAATAAAAAAGATACTGTCCCTGCTTTCATGAAGCTGAAGCTTACATTCCAGTGAAAAGAGGCAGAAAATAAACAGGTAAAAAAGAAGTCAGAATTGTGTTGTAAAAAATGAGCAGAGTAGGGAGATATGGTTATGGAAGAAGGGGTACTATTCTATTTAGAGTGATAAGAGAAGACTTCTCTGATAAGGTGTCATAAGCAAAATCCTAAATGAAGTGTAGAATTAAGCCATATTGGATACCTACAGAAAGAATGATGAAAGCAATGGGAAAAGGCAAACGTCCTGAGATGGAGTCATGCTTATCACTTTAGTTTTTAAGGGAAAGGTGAAGAGGCCTTTGCATGGCCAGTGTGTCTGCAACAGAGACAGTAAGGAGGAGGACGGTAAGAGATGACGTCAAAGGTAAGAGAATTGTGAATTTACTCTGGAAGGATGGAGCAGTGAGATCTGATACATCGTGGGAAGACTAGTCTGACTGCAAGTGAAAACAGATTGTGGATAACCAATAGTGAAAGGGGATGATTGTTTGAAATAAGATGCTATCAATGTGACACAGAAAGGAGTAAGGTAGTAAGTAGGAAGCAGTCATTCATTCTGGGTATGTCTTGATACCAAGACAACATAATTAGCAGGATATGGATTTAGTGTGTGAAAAGAGTCAAAAAGGATTAACATTTTTGGTCTGAAGTACTTGGTGAATGGCAATGCTATTAAGTAAGAGAAAATTGAGGGATGAAAGATTTGAGAGGAAAATCAGTCTTTAACATTTAGAAAGAAGAGGAGGCACTAGTAGGAGGGAATAAAACAGGAAACCAAGGTAGTAGGAAGAAAAAGAAAAATACTGTCACAAAATACAACTGAAGAAAGCATTTCAAGAGGGAAAAACTATTACAACTGAACGTTAACAGGCCAAATAAGATGAAAACTGAGAACCTTAAAATGTAAGACTATAAGACTACTGGTGACACTGACATGAGCCATTTTAAGGAAAAAAGGCTGATTGGAATAAGGATAGATCTAAGACTAAATAGGATTCCAGGAATATAAGGGTGGTTTAACACATCAAATTCAATTATATGTAGTTCACTAAACTAAGAAAAATTTGAAGAAACCTCATTAATTATCTCAAGTAATGCAGAAAAAGTGTTTGATAAAACTCAGCACCTGTTTATGATAAAACTCTAAGCAAACTTGTAGTAGACAGTTTCTTAATTTGATTTAAAAATCTACTAAAAGTAATCTACAGCATATGCCATACTTAGTGGCTAATTACTGGAAGCTTTGCACATGATATGTGGAATAAGATAGGGATGCTCACTATTACAACTTCTGTTCAGCGCTATACTGGAAGTCTTAGTGGAATATCAAGGGAAAAACATAAAAAGAATAAATATTGGAAAGGAAAAAATAAAACTGCCATTCTCCGATAATGAGATTTTCTACAAAGAAATGTTTTTGAAAAATCAACAAACTACTAGAATTAATAGAAGAATAGTAATATTGGTATTGGTATATAAAAGGTCAGTATAAACACCAATTATATTTCTATGTTTCCATGACAAATTAAAAAAACCTAACATTTGAAAAACCTCGTTATCTAGAAACAAATTTAGCAAAAAGACAAAATTTTCTATATAGAAAACTACAAAAGAGACCTAAGTAAATAGAAGGACATACTAAATGTATGAATTGGAAGGTTCGATATCAATATCAGTATAATATAATACAATGAAAGATATCAATATAATACAATGAAAATACTAGCATTTTTGGTGGAAATTGACAAGCACACGTGTATTAATGCCAAAACCCAAGAACAGCCAAAGCAATCTTGAAGAAGAATAAAACTAGATGAAACACTATATCAAAATATACTAAAAAGGCATATAAATTAAGATAGTGTTGTACTGCCTCAAAGAGAAAAACCCACAATAGATCAATTCTGGAAATGATCCCATTTATACATGGTTATCGAATTTATGGCAAATATCAAATTGTGATGCAGTGGGAAGTTATCTTCAATAAACAGTACCAGGCCAGCTAGCTACATATTTGAGGGTTAAAAAAGAACTTTGAGACCCTTATGCCTCATGCCATATACAAAATCCAATTCCAGATGGATTGTAAATCTAAATGTGAAAGGTAAAATTTTGTTTTAGGGAAGAAAACATAGAACAGTTTCGTGGCATTGGGATACATTAGGATCTAAAATGAGATAATCATAGAAAATGAAATGGTGACCTATATTAAAATTAAGGACTTCCATTCATCAAAAAGGTCATTAAGAGAATAAAAAAACAGGCCACAGAGGAAGTGATACATATCCAACAAAGTTCTCATATCTGTGATATGAACAGAATTTCCACAAATCAATAAGAAAATGATAGACAATTCAAATGAAGAAGGGCAAACACTTTGAACAGGTATTTACCAAAAGAGGGTAACTACTAAAAGATAATAAATGTATGAAATGTTCAACTTAATTTGTCATCAATGAAATGTAAATTAAAACATGATCTACAGAATGTAAGACTATCTTTGCAAATCATATTATCAAATGAAGATTAGTATACAGAATAAAAAATTGCTACAATTCAATAATGAAAAGAAAATATCACAATTTTTTTAATGGGCAAAATTTCTAAACAGACATTACTCCAAAGAAAATATACAAATAGCCAATAAGCACATGAAAAGATACTCAACATGATTAGACAGAATTATAAATAAAAAATGATATGCCATTTCACACCCACTAGGATAAGCCAGAATAAAAAAGACAACTGACAAATGTTGGCAAGGATGTGAAAAAATTAGAAACCTAATACACTGCTGACGAAAATGTAAAACAGTGGAGCCACTTTGGAAAACAGTTTGGCAGTGTCTCAACTGGTTAAACATAGAATTACGGTAGGACCCAGAGCAAAGCAATTCATAGATAGGTATCTACCGAAGAAGAAAAAATATACGTCCACACAAAAACTTGTACATGAACATTCATAGAAGCATTACTCATAACATCCAAGGTGAAAAAATCACAAATGTCTATTGACATCTGGATAAACAAAATGTGTTATGTACATACAATGGAATACTTTTCAGCCATTAAAAGGAACAAAGTACTGATATATGCTACCACATGGATGAAATCTTGTACACATTATGGTATATGAAATAAGATGCAAAAACACAAATATATGATCTCATTTATATGAAATATCTAGAGTACACCAAATCAGAGTGAAAAGTAGATTTCAGGTTGCCTAGGAGTGGGGGTCTTGAAAGGAAATTGAACAAACTGGCAAAAGACATGAAAAATTACTCCACAAAAGAGAAAAAGTGGATGTACTATAAATACATATGAAAATATGTCCAATCTTATTCTAATTTTCCAAAAATGCAAATTAAAACCACAATGAGATAATATTTTATACCTAACTTGTCAATATAATTTTAAGGATATTAATGATAAAGAGGAAAAACTGAATATAATATGTCCTTTTATTTGATTTAAAGTCTTTTCACTGAATTTCTAATTTTTTTAATATTTTTTTTAAGATTTTATTTTTAAGTAATATCTATGCCTAACTTGGGGCTTGAACCTGGAACCTGAGATCAAGAGTCATAAGCTCTACTGACGGGGCAAGCCAGGTGTCCCTCACTAAAATTCTAATTTTAAGCTAAGTTTTAAGTGTAAAAGAATGCTCACATTAGAATTATGCTGATAAACTCTCAGTAAATAGATGAAAAGTATATTCAAGGGGCAGTTCCTATTAGTGATCTTGTCATGCACAGTAATATCACAAAGGCATTTCATAATATCTAATTCTTGTAAAACGCAATTTAACATAAATCTTCTAAGTCATTCTTAATACTCTAGATAGAAAAAAAATAGCTTTCCATGAAACCAAATATCTTAACAATAGGCTTAATGTTACTGAAAAAATTATTTCAATAAAGAAATGCTGGCAATGATCTTAATAACTTAATAACCTACCACTCCCCAATCACCAATCCTTCAAGAAAGAATACTTATTTCAAAGCAAAGACAGGTTACAAGGATTTCAAAGGTAGAGCAATCTGAGTTGAAAAAACTATCTCCAAAAGTCTTCTCAGTATTATTTCCTAAGGGAAAAATAAGTTTATTCCTCTTACTTGAGGCCTCACCGCTATTATTTCTCAAATAGTTCCACTTTAAGAGCAGCTGAATGTTAGAGTTAACTGATAAGAATAGATTTGAGAGAGCTAATGAGGATGACAGATATTTTCTTAAGAAAGAAAAAAGCCAATATTTGTATCATAACTTCCCCCTTTAATTTTTAAAAGAAATCACATGATACAACCAAACTCTTGTAACCCCAGGATTCATTACCAGAATTAGTACAATTGTGACTAAAGCAAAGAAGGTCATAAAAAAACCAAGATACAAATGACACAAAATGGGGAAAATTACATCCATCTAATTTGTATTGTTTATACTATGTAGTGATTAGAGAAATGCTACCTTAAATACTCAGATATATTAAAATCAGAGAAAAATCACAAACTAATGTTTTGCTTACTACAAAATAAAGATTTTTTACCTTATAATTGGAAAATTAAGCAAAAACAAAAAGTCCACTTAAAATAAAACTGACAAAACTTCTAAGAAATTAGTTTGAATTTAAAGATAGCAAAGAAACAACTAGAAAAAAGAATTAAGGGGAAATACTTGTAACTTTGATTAAAGACAGAGGGAAAAAATTTCTTTAGTTTCTATCTTCACTCAAAATTCCTTTATTATATAGATTTCTATAGCAACCAATTTAGTTCAATGTCTACACTTAAGTCTAAATGCAAAACATAAAAGTACATATTTGTGAATTAGCCAACAATAATGAGCAGTCGATGAAAAGAGAAACTATAGAAAAAATATAATTAGGGGTTGTCAATTGTTCAGCTATGAATACTACACAATAAAACCATCAATACATATCACTTACCTTTTCAAGTAAGTAGCCGATGACTAAAAAGCCTTTTCCACCCAGCATCTGTTCTTGCATGGCTACTGAACTTTTAAGTAGTTCAACCAGGAATGCCAAAAGAGTAGCACTGCATGTAAAGTACAGATAATTTCATTACGTAATTATCATATGTTGATTATAAACACAGCGTTCCATTTCAGAATTTTATTATGCCAAAAGATAACAACGCAATTCAAATCTAATCTCTATTTTGCTGACAATGATTATTGTATCATTGTACCTTATATTGTACAGTAATATATTTTCTCACAAGCATGAGAAAACTAGTCTCATCTCTTTAAAATTAAATATCATAAATCAAAACATAAATTCATAGTTTTTTTATATGTCAAAACCAAACACTGAAGTTCATCTACACTTATGTACATTATCTGCTTCAAGTAAATCTAACATAAGAAACACACCCAGAAATAAATCAATTCTCCACAATAAAGACTTTTATCATAATATTCTTTTGAAGAACATACTATCTTAGAGAATTTTAAATAGGTATGCAATATTGCTTTGGAAGAACACACCTGTTTTTAAAATAAACTTTTCATTTAGACCTATTTAAAAAAAAAACTGTATTTTTTAGAAAATATCCAGAGAAATATGCAACATGTTATTTAATATGTCCGTATATGCCCTCAGGAAAGCTCATGAGAGCAGAAAAACAAATGTCTGTATAATATTGAAATGAAAGTGGCAGTTAATTACACAATGTTTACACAAACACATAAAAGCACACAAAGATAAAGGTCAGACAAAGATAAAGCACTTGATATGTCTGTTGAATGAAGAAAGAAACGAAAGAAAAAATAATGATTGCATTGAATTAAGCTTTGATAATATATTACTTCACAAAGTTAAGCTGAAAATTTTTCAACTAACAGCATTAATAGATGATGGCATTCCTAATTAAGAAAATATATATTCCTTCATTGTATATGCTTATTGTAGTTTATAACAATAAATGACAAGCCAAACTTCAACAGCAATTAAAATATCTATTTGCTGTGCTTTGTAATATAGCCTAAATTACCTATTTATATTCACAAGAAAGGGTAAAACCACAAATTTCTAAATATATTTTAAATTCACAAGTATTCATTCCTGCAAAGAATTAAGAAAATCTGTTAATGAGGAAAACTTGAAAATCACTAATTCCAAAACTGATTCTATTCTCTCAAGTTATTCTAGTTCTTCTGGTTTCAATAAAACTGACAACACATTTCTCTGATAATGTGGCTATTCTTGTTCAAATCCGAAATAATCTCATTGAAAGAATCAATAGCAAAATTATCATTATTATAAAAACTGATAGTTTAATGGGTTACATGGTATCAGTTAGAAAAAATATAGTATATCTGGAAATAAAGTACTTCATTACAGGAAATTAAAATTCAATTACATTAATTGGCCCTATTTCTTTAAACCACACACAAAAAAGTAAACTTCTACTACAAGGCAACGATGTTCTTTTACTTTGTCCTATAGTTAGACATTTACAAATAAAACACAACTACCAAAGAATCTTCGGATTTTTTTAATGTTTCTGTAAAGAAGAACAGCTATTAGGGAATCTAGTCCATTTTTAATCAATTGTATCAATAGTAAAAGCCACTTCACAAATAATTGCACAGGTACTACTGCACAAAATACTTCTGCCTAAATATTTGAGAAGAATAAAGAACCACTGCATAGAGATTACACAATATCCTAATCTTGGAATTCTTACCTATACTTGAGTTAATGATGTAGGGGGAAAGATTACTAAAATTCCTAAAAATCAGCACTGCCAAAAACAAAGACTGGAAATGCCTATGGTCCCTATGGTCCATGAAAAAAATGCAAAAAAATATTTCTTACAATAAATTACCTTCCTATGTAGAACTGCATAAAACTACAAGGATGCCATGGATTTTCTTATTCTTTTATGTCAGAAGGACTACTCTTTCTCAAACATCTAAGGAATTAGCTCAGACTTCTAAACACAGTGGAGTTCCATTACAAAATCAGAAATATTAATTTTATTCCAAAATCTTAACATATGACTATGCTACCCATATGAAGTTAATTTCACTTCAGTTTTAGCTATGACAACACTTGAAATGTCAAATGCATTCACTAACAAAAGTATTTTAAATTTATACCTAAAACTGAATGCAATAGCAATACCACATCTTTTCAAAAAAAAAAATCTTTAAAATAGGTATATTTGACATGGTGGATGTAATAGTAAATAGATGGCCATCTTCGAAGAGGTACATTTTCAAACATAATTTAACAAACTTACCAGTAACTAAAATGCATCGGATTGCTGCAGGGCTCACAATAAACTTGCAAAATTCTGTGTACTGCCATACAAAATTTCTCTCCATTCTTGCCTATTTCCAACTCCCCTAGATACAAAGGCAAATATAAAGGATACTTCAGCCCATTCCTATATCTCCTACATACCACTTCCTGTCTAGACACATCAGTTCATCTGTAGAGGATCTAAGTATATAGGATAACTGAAAACCAAGTATCCGTGTCAGCCAAAACTAGTATACACAACATAGAAGATTCTCTTGAAAAGTATAGCAATACTTAGAAAGAGATTTTCATGGAATATTTTACTTGAGAGACAAAAAGTGTACTGATTTTTATCTCCTAAAGTAAAATTGCTAAACTTTTCAATAGACAGTACTATAACATATCATGTTCTATACGTAGTAATTCTACTTCATGAATAGTTAAGTGTGTTTAATAATCCTGTCTCCCTTTAAGGAAAATGACACTAACAATCTATAGGGTTATTCTTAAAAATAATTACCATCTTCCAGTTCTTAATAAGCTCCCATTAAATTAGAAAATAGTATTTATTTCAAGTAACATACTCATAAAGGGCTAGGCCTTAGGAAAAATGAAGAAAATAGTATAATAATACCTCCAATGACTGAGCATATTTATTACCTCTCTAGAGCTTTCTGGTCCATGTTATTAAAGAATACCACATAGTCTTGGCCCACAAATACCTGAGAATATTTAAAAACTATGTAAGAACATGACTAATTTCTGTTTCTAATGAAAAATATGTACTATATTTAGGTTCCGTTAAAATTTATATAGAGATTTTGACTTGATTTTAATACAACTTTATCCATTTCAATTTGTCCATTATTTATTTTTTAAAAGAAACTAATGTGGATAACTCATGTCATGTGATCCTAAAACTTTCATTATCTTTGAGGTATTTGATTATTTAAAGATATAAAGACAGACTAATGTATAACTGAAATGACTGAGACTGAATATGTAACTTAAGTTCAGTTCAAAGGCAGTTCTTAGGATACAGAAACTGGCTTTTCAATCTGCTTTTGTACTGAAACAAGCCAAGTACCTCAGCTAGATGAACTGCTTAAATATACAGAGAAGAATGAAATTCGTAATGTAAAAAATTAAAGATTGCCCAAGATCCAACATCTCCTCCCCTTTTAAAAGGATGTATTTAATATCTTAAGAAATACTATGGACAAAGTAATTGCCAGAATAAATTCAGAAGTAGATTAAGTTCCATTAAGATTAAGGTACCAGTAAGGGGGGAAAATCTTTTGATTTTTTTTCATAAGGTTTCATCTTTTATGTAGCCTAATTTGGTATCAGATACATTAAAATCTTGCAAAGGATGATTAAAATTATATATAATATCTAATACCATTGTTTCTATCTATTTCTTTGACTAGAAAACTTTCCTGAGATGAGAGTGATCAGAGCAGGAACAAAACTGTAAAAAGAAATCAACTCAAGTCCATACTCAAGATAATTTCTCACTCAACACAATTAATTTCTACTGACACACATGCAAAAAAAACCTCACAAAAGTTAGAAGAATTAAATTCCTTCACAGTTCAAAATTAAAAAGCTCTAAACCAAAGTTTCTAATACCAGGTACATTTAACGGTCACTTGTAGACAATGTATTCCTGAAGATGAGCTCTTAAAAGAACACAGCCTACCTGCCTATGTATGCAATGAACCTGATACACAAACTGTCACATTCATCAGTTCGGACATCAAGTGGAGATACATGTCGAAATAAGTAAAATACATTTATCTGCAGAGTCAAATAAGGAAAACAGTGAAATGCAGCACAGTAAAATGTAAGGACAGATGGAATACACTGGGAGCACATGAAATCACTAAGCCTGCCCTTAGCTGTGAAATCTCTCGGTAATTTCTACCTTTTCTTACAGCCTGATAAGGAGACAGGCAGCCTTATAAACTGAATTTGCTACCACTGTCATGGCTATTTAAGAGTATTCTTTAAAGGCCCTATTTTAAATTTAATCAGGCCATTACACATTTTTATCTTCTTCTGGTAACAGATTTTGATTTTATGTTTCATCAGCCTATTTTATTTCTGACAAAATATAGTATAGCCAAAAAGTCAAAGTTTATAAACTTGTGACTGAAATATCTCAAAATCTGTCTTATATAGGAAACAAAATTTTAAAATTTTTACTTCCAAAGGAATTTATTCTACACCTCTTATGACATAGTTATATTTTAGCATAGAGTACCGGTATTTACATAGTTTGAGAGCAAAATAGCCTTTTGATCAGCTCCATTCATAACTCTAAATAGCCAATATCTATATACTAAAAAGGCTCTATTACTATAGAAGAAATAACTCTCAAAGCCTACTAGTTTACAATTTAATCCCACTCGAAAAATGACCACTTCCAATGCTCTACATGTGCTTGACCCTTTGTGAAAATTGAGTGGATGTGCTAGAGTAACCATGCGTCATCCACAGATACATGAATACTTTAGAAATTTCATGATGTAACTTCCTAACACGTAAGAAGTTCAAAATTTCAGAAGTAAAATAGAGAGGTTATGACACATGTGTGACCTTAACTATGTATGCATCCTCTAATGTCCTTCAAGATCAAAATACGCCGCCACCGCAGGGAGGCCCAATGGCCAGTCCTTTATCCTGGTGCTAGCTCCATTTTCAGCCAAGCCCAGTCTATTTAACAGAAGCAGGATTAAAAAGCATACCCTGGAAGTGCTAAAATTATCCAATAAAGAAAATAAA